TCTCTCCGGTGGTTGTAATCTAAAAAAGAAAAAACATGTGTATTCAAAACATTGTAATGATTCTGAAATTGTTAAATTATACAATATTACGAATTTTGATATTAAAAAATCTATTCATTATACAAAATAGACAAAATTAATTATATTTTTTTGATAAAAACTTCAACTTACTGATGAATTGTCAAACAATCCTCCGCAAGAATGTGCGAGGTCTAGAAAAGTGTGTCTAGAGGCGTGAAGAAAGCGAACTGACTCTGTGGATGCAATTTAGCGTAATCCAACAGAATATCCGTTATAACTCGCCTGTTTACTTTGTCCTACAAATAAGCACGCAAGGCGTTATTTCTTTATTTCTTAAGACAAATTTCAGAAATATAGACCAAGAATTATAATAACGGCTTACTATGAATACATCGAATTCACCGAGAAAGTAGAAGGGCAGCCGAGTGCAACCCCAGAGAGCCAAGATGAATGCGACGGTCGAGTAAGATCGTTCGTCTCTCGAAAACGATTTCGTGTCCTTGCTCGACTCTTCATCATTCCGTACACTCACATGTAAGTCAAGCAGTTTATTTGTATGATCGATCACCACAGTGCCCTAGTAAAAAAAAACATTTGTGAATAATAATTAATAAAATATGATTTAAAAAAGTATTTTTTGTTGTTACCTTATATTGTGTTAAAGAAAGCACATTGGTGAAAGCTTTCTGCACACAGACACTATACAAATCCCTTAGTTGGAGGAACATATTCTGCCGATGCTCCACTCGTTCAATGTGTTTCTACAAAGTATATGAATGTATTGTAAAATATTTCCTCGAGTAAAATAACAAACAGTCCATGAAAATAACATAGATAATTTACTTACTTCGCAACTTTGTTTCAATTGAGCTGCAAATTCAATGTTTACTCCATACTTTTCTTCCTTTTCTTTCAGTTGTCGCCGTAATTCATCCAAACAGCCAAACTGGTTTTCTATCTCGCGAATCTTATCTCCTAACTCAGTTAGTAAAGTTTTGATTTGGTTTGCCAATCTGTAAAAGACGAGATATTGAAGCAACATAAGATATACAAATAAAACATAAATAAAAATTAAGAGTTTAGACGTGTTTGAAATAAAAAAATGAATAATTTTGGTTATACATTATGTTACATCATTTTATAATGTTAACCTGGTAGTGTTTATCCTAGGACACTTTTCAGTGGCGTTGGAAACCACTTTCTTTACCGCTGTCTCTTGTATTTCGAATTCCCCCGTTGCGCACTGTATGGTTTGACGAATTTCTTGTAATTTTCGAGTAGCATGCTGAAACTCGTGCCGATGCCTTTCCTTCTCCCGTGTCAATTCTCTTAATTGATCCTGCGCAAAGTTTTACATAAAATATTATTTATTATTCTTATAAATATTAATTATTAATAAAGATTAAGCATTCAACTGACAATATAAACATACTTTAAGAGAATCAATCAGTGTGTGTAAATTGTGCCTCAAATCCCCGCATCGCTTAGCTTCCGCGTCGAGAGATTCAACGGTCTCCTGAAGCTGCTGCACGTTTTCATCTAAAGCCTTTTCCAAGCCACTTTCCTGCGCTATTTTCTTTTCTAAATCCGCGGCTTCGTTACGCTGTAAATAATAAATTAAATAATATGTAGCTATTTTATTCTAAAGAATAATACTTCAAAAGACAATCCTGATTACTCACGAAAACATTAATACAACTGGCATCATGCAAATCAATTTCATCTTTCAGTTCATTAATCGAATTAGTACATTCACTTTGTGTAGACCTTAGCTTGTGGACCGTCTTGATTACGTTATTCATTTCGGAAGTAATGCGAATTATTATTTCAAATATAACGTTATATGTTGCGTCGACTTCCTGCTTTTTGTTTTCAGTTATTTGAAGATCTTCTTTCAGCGTTCTACATGAGAAATTAATATAAATTATTTGCATTATATTTTCTTTTACATATACAGGACAAAATTGTTGGGTAGAATTTACTACTGTAAAGTGGATTACATTGTTGCACTTACTGCATTATTTCCATGGTAGAAACATGATCCGTGGTAGAAACATGAAGATATTTAGCGCGTTCACATCTTCCCTCATAACACCTGTAATTTGGATCGGGGTAGAATGTGTCTCCACGTAAA